TTCCTCACATACCTATATAACTGTATCCTCCACACAACTCACTTTCCTCTGACATGGAAACACTCCATAATCATCCTCTTCCCAAAACCAGGTAAACCTGTCAATAATACCTCATCCTATAGACCAATAAGCTTGCTCCCAATCCTCTCCAAAATCTTTGAAAAAATCCTTCTCAAACGCATCCTACCCATACTCGAAACCCACAATACCCCATCCCATCAGTTTGGATTCCGCTCAGGACATTCTACTGTTCAACAAGGCCTTCACGTTGTTGACCATATATCCTCTGCACTTGAAAACAAGCAATATTGCACCGGTGCCTTTCTGGACGTAGCACAAGCTTTCGACGTGCCACAAGGCAGTGTCTTGGGCCCAGTCCTCTTCATCCTCTTCACCGCTGACATTCCAACCAATCCCGATACCCTTCTAGCAACTTTCGCGGACGATACCGCCATCCTGTCATCCCACCTAGATCCTGAAACAGCATCCTTAAATCTACAAAGACACATCTCCCTAATTGAGCAATGGTGCAACAATTGGCGCATTAAGATCAATGAATCCAAATGCAAGCATGTCACCTTAACCCTCCGATGCAGATCCTGTCCACATATCCTTTTCAACTCTGTACCTCTTCCCGTCTCAGACACAGTTCGGTATCTTGGATTCCTTTTAGACAAAAGACTAACTTGGAACCCACATACTAGACTTAAAAGACAAGAACTTAACCGACGATTTGGCCAGCTATACAGACTACTTAATAGAAAATCCAATCTATCAATAGAAAACAAACTATTAATATACAAGACCATACTCAAACCCATCTGGACCTACGGACTTGAACTGTGGGGGACAACTAAATTTTTCGAACATCAAACGCATCCAATCCTTTCAGTCTAAAGTCCTCCGTATGATAGTCAATGCTCCTTATTACGTCACAAACAAATCCCTACATCATGACCTTTACATCCCTTATATCCTTGACGTTATTCCATCCCGATTCTCAAATTTTCCCATGAACCTAATCGACCATGCTAACCCTTTAGCACAATCCTTATCTAGCTCCAGTCATCCCTACAACCCTCTTCGAAGGTTGAAACGGCAGTGGCCTCGAGATCTCTTGTAAAGACGTCACTGGAGTTCTGGCAATGGCCAGCTTCTCCACTCAAGTCATGAGTGTTTGTGGTTTTAGTGCCCTCTCTCAGTCTCCACCGGACTGGTAATGCCGGCGACGCGGTTGAGAGAGAAGCGCTGGGATCTCTTAGAGTCTCGCTTTGTCCTTCACACGTGGGGAAAAGGGCTGGACTCAGAGATCTCTTGCCTAATTGTAAATATTGTATTTAAGTATGAATGTTTTTCTATTTATTTCTATTACTTATAATTTATTTAATTTTGCTACGAATTTCTGTATTTCATTTAATTTTAACTCTAAGTTACATTTCCTTGGTTTATTATAGTTTTTGCCTTTGTTATATAGATTTTTATATTTTTTATTTTTTTATTTATTTATTTTTTATTTTTTTTTTTTTTATGGTATTGTATATATGGTATGAATGAGCCTCACTCAGCCTTAGTACTCAGTGCCCTTAAGTGTGGCAAAATGTATTATTTCTCAATAAACAGATATAAAAAAAAAAAGAAAGAAATATTTCCTCACTTTGACTATTGCTGTACGGTATATTGGGGCGTCTCCAAGGATCACGAGGCGAAACTAAAACTTTTGATAAATTGCCTTGTACGATTCATCTTCGGGATCCCAAGGGACGACTCTATTTCCTGTAATTATGATGAGCTGAAATGGCTTTATCCTTCCTACCGACATAAGTATCTCCTAGCATCCTTCCTCTTCCAAGTCATCCAATCTCACCGTCCTTCATACATCAACGAGCTCCTTCAATTCAAATTCTCTGTCCACTGCCAAAAAACTCATTCCCCGTCCTCAGATAATTTTTTATTCATTTATTATAATTTTTTTTTTTGGTCCTCTCCTTCCCCTAATTAAAGAAGATACTGCTATTCCAATATATCGCCCTTACAACGTTATTTTATCAAAATTAGTAAAGTTCAACAACCTGTCTGCTCAAATTTATGTTTATTTTGATCCCTTGACAAATGATTGATTCACATATTAGCAATCATAAAAATAATATTCAAAGTTAAAGAGGCTAATATATCGGTTTAAGGGGATGTGTGGCTGGCATGGACTGAGACACCTCCACGCTGAAAGGCACAAAGAGGAAGAAGAAGAAGGGATGACCAGATAATTGGGTACTGGTGCTAAAAAAAAAAAAAATAAATAAATAAATAAAAAAATAAAAAAGAACAAATCAAGCTCTACTAATCTTGATAAAATAAGGTCATGAGGCTGGTGTATTCTTCTTCTTCTTTGGCGCTACAACTCACGTGGGTTCAAGACCTCCTATAACAAAGTAGCCGATTTCCAATCTCGTATATTAAGGATGGATATCGCGTCAGCCGCTACATCATCAGCCCAACGTAATTTGGGTCTTCCAATTGGCCTTCTTCCGAATAGCTGTTCAGTAAGGAACTTCTTTGGAATTCGACTAATCCTAATAAACCTGACCACATTACTCTCCTGGAAAAGTTCCTGCAGTTCTGCATTGGTTCTCTGCCTTCACTCTTGATTCGAACAAACTGGACCAAATATTCTGTGAAGGATTCGGCGTTCGTCATCTTCAAAATGAGTTCTCCACCGATTTATGATCTTTGTCCTATCTGTGAGAAGGGTGTCATCTACATCTTTACATGCTCTTACATTTGGCTTGAAAGAAGCATGACTTCGGTTTATAAGCTGAAAGAAATTCCTTATCTGTCCTCTCTGTCTAAATTCTTTAATATTTTCAGCTGATCTTTTTCCCGTTCCCTTTTTTTTTTTTTTCTGTGCAACCACTTCTCTGCTCTTCTTCTCTTCCTATATTTACTCATTGAGCTTCAAGTGTTTCGCTGGATCATAATTCGATACGCCATATTCTTCTGGTTGGTCATCTCCCGACATTCATCATCAAGCTAGTCTCTTATTTCAGCCCTTTCTACATGTCCTATCACTTCATTACTTGTGTTTACTATGGCCTCCCTGATTGCTGTCCATCTCTGGTTGAGGTCACAGTCCTGATCTAGTGCTATTGTGTTAGCATCTATTAGAGTTGAAAACCGTGTTCTTGTGTCAGAATCTTTTAGTTTGGCCACATTATATTTAGTCAGGCGATCTCCATAAGGATTTCTTCCATATGAAATTCTCGATTTTAAGCGAGCCACAGTGAGGTAATGATCCGAATCTATATTCGCTCCTCTGTACAACCTTACATCCATTAAGCTTGAAACATGTCGAACGCTAATCATGACATGGTCAATTTGGTTTATTGTTATGTCATCGTTAGAACGCCCTGTTGCTAAATGTATCCTTTTATGGGGGAACATAGTACTTCTAATAGCGAGTCTCTTGGACACAGAAAAATTTATTAACCTTCAACCGTCATCCTTTAAGGTATTGTGTATACTGTGTATTCCAAAAGTCGGTCTGTACGTTTGCTCCTTACTAATCTGTGCATTAAAGTCCCCTAACAAGACTTTTATGTCTGCTCCAGGGCAGTCATCAACTCATCTTTCTAGGGTATTATAGAAAGCATCTTTATCCCCATCTTCCGAGGGCTTGGTGGGGGCATGTGTGCTAATGACACTATAATTGTGAAATCTGCCTTTAATTTTGAGATAATAGATTCTTGGGTCAACTGATTTAACAATGAAACCAATTCCAAAGGTGTGGTACTTCTCGACACAACTATAGTAAATTGTGTGGCAAATATTCACTTCCTGCAGCCAATATGCATATTTTCTAAATTACTTAAAAATGCCCCATATAGTTTTCCAGTGATCAATTAGAGGCTCACTTTCTGGGAAACTATTATTTGTCATTGGTTTATTAGCAGATAATTGTCTATAGAAAAGTTTCTTCGAATTATAAAAGCTGTATTAATTCCAGTATACTTCCTCATTCTATTCTTGTACACTGCCAATTTCTGCTTCATATAATCCATAATTTTCGTAAACTCCTGGTTCATTTCAGCTTTTTGTACCCTTACAATATATGAAACAATTATTTCATCTATTTTTGTCTTCAGTTTGATGGAGGTAGTCTCTGGGCTTCTTAAGAAATTGGTAAGAACACCAATCTTTCAATGCAGAAACTCAATCTTATTTAAGCGTCTTTGTTTCCACGGCGATATCTCGCCTTTCTTCTTCTTGGCACTATTTGCATCACCTGTTTATGACTTAATTAAACCTAGTTATAATGTTACACTTCTGGTAGCTATATATACCCAGTGACAGATATCTTTTTATTGTTATTATTATTATTAAATACATAAAATCAATAGAGTTTGACAAGAGCTGTCAATTACATTTTAAATGAATGTCACAATTTCACTTCTTTTTATTAAGTTATTCTACATAAGAATTATAATATTTTAAAATATGCATTTAGTAACAAGTAGCTTGACAAGTAGCTTGTGGGATTCCATCAGGAAGCATGTACACAATAATGAATCGCTCAATATTTGGCAAGAGGGTACATGGGAGGACAAAAACCAAATGAATAAATTGAATTAACAAAGATGTTGCAGAGCTGCATGCAAAAAAAAAAAAAACAATAGCAGATGTGGAGGGTAATCTAAGAGTTACTAGTTCTGAATAGCAAACAGAAAAAAATAAAAATGAAATACAAAAATATGGTATATAAAAGTTGTTCATAATGATAACATGAAAGTAAAAAGTATGGTAAAATAAATGTGGCACTAATAATTCAAATATAACAAACAAGTTAGTTCTTAATGCAGTCGACTCTCACTTCCAATATTTACAAAACCAAATTAATCAAAATCAAAATAAATAAATGTAAAAAATAACAATAAATATAAAATATAATAATCTCTCAATAAAAAACAAAACAATAAATAGTTGGTTTACAAATAATGCTGGTATATTACCTGGTGAACTGTTGAACCACAGAGTTTGTCAAACATCCAATCTGGGTCCAAGCTATATTTTATTGCTGTACCTTGTGTTTTGAAAGTAAGGTAGGGAAGTTCTTCCAGTTTACGCCTATTGAAGCTGAAAAAATAGGTATTGAATGTTATAACATTTTTTTATTCATGATATTCACAACTGTAATAAAATAAAAAAAATCTAATAAATTGGAACAAAGTAATATAACAACATGAAAGCAATGTAATAATAATAATACCCACTGATAGCAATGTAATAATATAATTACAGTAAGAGATCATAAGAATATCTTCTTTTCAGACACCTCAGAGGGTTTTTAGGGATCAAAGAGGAAGCAAAGCTAGAAACGAGAGGGTTCAGATGCTTCTGAAGTTTATTATGGAAATTATTATTATCTGGATTGAACTGAATTGGCAACTAATGTGACATTAAGGTCATTATGGATAATAATTGTCACGAATATGACAAAATAAGGAGCATTGAGGATTTTGGATTGTGAGGATTGGATGCAAGAGGAATTTGATTATTTAGTGGAGCCCCAAAACTCAATAACATATTTCCAAATACGCCTTATTATAGTTAAGTAAATGAGTCTTATAGTTAATAGGAGTTAGTTTAGAGCATTTGTCTATTAAGTGTTAAAGTAGCATCTAGCAGTTTCTTGTCATTTCATTCTTATTTGAGGATTCGAAGGAAGGTGTTTGTCCAGATGGAGTCCTAGTTAGTGGATCTGTTCAACAGGGATAAGTGGGCTATTATTAAATGATATTAAAGGACAGGAAATCAGAGGTTTACGATGAAGGGTAAAAAAGGTGGTTTGATGGGATTTGTTGGAATTTATTTTAATCCTCCCATTTCGACACCAATCTTCAAGGTTTGTGATATGTGACTAAAGAGTTTGGGAAACAATAAATGGGTCATTACTAACTGATAACACACATGTACCATTAACATATATGATAATGATGGTGTTAGAATTAGCGGGAATGTCAGCTGTATAAAGAGTGTAGACAATGGAATCGGGAATACTGCCTTGAGAAACACCAGCGGTCAGAGAAGAGAGGGATGAATAGGCTCCATTATGGTTTATTTTGAATGATCTGTCTGAAAAGTAGGAATAGATAATGAGAAAGTAAAATGAAATGAAAAATATGTAGGAGAAAGGCATTGACAGATTTTGTAAAGCTGTCCCGGGAGCCAGATTCGATCAAGTGTATGTTCTACATCAAAAAAGGCTCCTGTGGAGTACAAACCACATTCCAATGCAGAGGAGGCAACGTCTACCACACGATGACATTGCTAGATAGTGGAGGGAGAGGTTCAGTATCCAAATTGGTGATCTGGGATTTTGTGATTAGAATCTAGGATGGTATACAGGTGTTTTAGAATGAATTTTTCCAGGATGGGGATAGGACAATAGAAGATAGGACAATAGGAAGATGTGTTTTCAAGTATTAAACAGAAAAAAAAAATGAAATAATCATACTTTTATAATTTTAAAGATACTTTCAGTTTATTTATTAACAGTGTTAAGTGGATCTAATAATCACACTAGAGCAGAGAACATACTTGTACTTGGCCAAATGTAAAACAATTAAATAAATCCAAACAAATTAATTCAGATAACTTCAAGACTTTAAATAGGTGGTGTTTTGTTAAGAGGAAATTTCATATATTGTGTAAAAATAGCCATCATAAATTGGATAACAAGACCTAAAAAGAAAAAAAAAAAAAAAAAAAAAAAATGAAAATTCTCAAATTAAATTTAAAAAATAATCCATATAGACCTTTATGTTCCAAATGTTTCTGATTTGTCCCAATCCAGATACCTATCCTTCCATAATAAATTTCATAACCATCCGAATCCTCTCTTTTCTAACATTGCTTTCTCTTTTATTCCTGATAGCCCTCCAAGGCGTCTGAAAAGAAGATGGCCTCATGATCTCCTTATATAGACATATTATTAGACTGCTACCAGTGGGTAGTTTCTCAACAAGCGTTTTCATGTGATTATATTCCTGTGTACACATTTACTTGATGCATTTATTGAAGATAAGGATGGTTGGGGTGATCAGTCAAAATAGAAATATCAAAAATAACTAATCATATTTATTTATTTTTTTTTTTTTTTTTTTGGTTTTTTTGGCTTTAAGACTTGTAAAAGCAAGTCCTATTTAGCCAGCAAAATATTTTGTTTGTCATAGTGAGATGAAATTACGGTTTTTAGACGGAAATTGCACTGGATTTATATTAATTATTTACAGTTAGATGATAACTGAAAGTGACTTATATGGGACTTGGATATTAGATATTATATTATTAGATATTAGATATTATGGAAACTAGCAAGACTAATGGTTAAAAACTGAGGTGAATTAGAATTGCAATTAACTAAGTGCCGACTTTTATTATATGACTGCTTTGATGTCATTCATGAACTTTAACAAGTCACGAGCGTTATCTTTGTTCAACGACCGAAGAAAGTTAGCTCCATCATCCATAGTTTGCGACCCTAAACTAATTCTTCTTCACTTTTCGAACCTTTTGCACTTGAAGGCAATGTGTCTTGGATCCTCCAAGCATTGGCATGTTGGGCATTGACTGCTCTCAGCTAGCCCCATTAGATGAAGATATTTATTTGTTCTACCGTGGTTTATCCTAAGCCTGGTCAGCTTTACTAAGCTGGAGCGGTCGAGATGAGATTTAAGGGTCGCAAACCATGGAATCAGTGCTATTTTCTGTTGAACTGCATGATGGTCCTTACCCTTCGAGGCACATTCCCAGTCGTAGAAATGCTGCCAATCTTTCATTATTTTCCCCCTCACTACTCTTATCAAATCAAGTAAAGGGACCTTCGCGTTTATTCGGTGTAGTTGGTTTTGATTTGCCGTTTTATCTGCAATTTCATTTCCTGATATTAAAGGAAATGTGTGTCAGTGCTTTGGTATTTTGGTAGATTAATTTTAGGTGTTTACATGCCGTTGCGGAGTCTGTCAGAATAACTATATTTTGGTTGATATATGTGTTTTCGCTGTATATTATGGCATTAAGAATGGCATATAGTTCGGCGCTGAAAATACTGAAATCAACTGGAATTTATAGTGAAAATTTCTGGTTCTTTTGGGGATCATACACAGCTACAGAAGTTTGGTTACTTGTTTTTGATGCGTCTGTATAAATTTGTAGATAATTTGGGTAGTGGTCAGTGATTGTGTTTAGTGCTAATTGTTTCAAATAAATTGGTGGGTATGAACTTTTCTTCTCTAATTTACCAGCTAGATTAGAGGAGCTGTGAATATTAATTAAAGATTTGGGAATGGGCATTGTGTATTCTAGAGGTGCTTCCGAAATGTGTAGTGATTAAATAAGAGGCTGCAATTCGTTAATAATGAAAGATAGTTGGGGACAGAACACGTTTCCACTTCTAATTTCTTTACCTACAGGATGATTATTGTAGGAATACACTTTGAGGATGTATTTTTTCGTTAACCATGACCTTCTGATGAGTAATGGCATCTCTCCGGCTGAGGCCTGAAGCGCGTTTACTGGAGAAGTTTTAAAAGCACCCAAACATAACCTTATGGCACAGTTTTGTGTTGTATTCAACTTATTAATGAGGGGGGATTTAGTTTGATTGTATACGACACAACAATAATCGAAGTTAGATCTTACTAATGTTTTGTAGAGAGTGAGCATGTTTTGTGGGTGAGAACCCCACGATACTCCAGCTAAAGATTTTAGTATGTTTAAGTTTTGCAGCGACTGTGTGTGAATATTTTTTATATGCGTTTTGAAATTTAATTTAGTGTCTAATGTTACGCCTAAAAACTTTAAGTGTTCTTCGCTTTTAACTGTGTATTTTTCATTTGAAATCTCAAAATCTTTGAAGTTAATTGTTCTTTTTCTAGTAAAAGGAGTAATGCTGCATTTGTTAGGATTAATTTTTAGGTCTATTATTGAAAATGCTTGTGTTAGGTTGTCCAATGCTGAGCTGATTATGTCTTTCCCTTCTTCTGCAGATTTCGCTACAGTATAAATTAAAAAGTCATCTGCAAACTGAATGATTTTACACTTGTCAATTGTATTGTTGGTGATATGTTCCGTGTAAAGATTGAAGAGGGTTGGACTTAAAATATCTCCTTGAGGGAGACCACTGTAGGTTTCATAAGATACTCGACCTTCCCAAGTGTCCAGAAAATATGTTCGATGAGTTAAGTAATTTATTATCCAGTGAGTTAGTTTCGTAGGGATGTGCAGATTTTTTAATTTAGATAGCAAGATTTGTATTTTTACATGGTCATATGCTTTATCAATATCAATGGTTAATGCCACAAGGATCTTTCTTTCTCTGAAAGCTTTGTAGATATCATTGATTAGAATCAAGATTGCATCAGTGGTTGACCTGTTTTTCCTAAAACCAAAACAGAGAGGACTCAAGATATTTGTTGATTCTATAAACCATTCTAATCTCGTTTTGACAATTTTGTTGAAAACTTTTGCTAAGCATGAGATGAGAGCAATAGGGCGGTATGAAGTGATCTGAAGTGCATCTTTACCAGGCTTTAATATTGGGAATATGAGTATATTTCGCCAGTCCGGAGGAACCTTGGCATCCTCCCAAATTTGATTATAAGCAGAAAGCAATCTCTGTTTCATCGAAGCCGGTAAGAGTTTGATCATTTGGTAATTGATTTCGTCCACACCGGGGGCGGATCCAAATTTCCCTTTCAATGCCGCTTCCAGCTCTGTTAATTGGAAGGGTGAATCTAAATGGTGGACAATATGTACATTAGAACCGCGAAGCAATGGTTGTCTGGGCACAAAGATGTTCGACAATTGTTCGAGAAAGCCTATTGCATGTGTTCGGTTACTTAACACCATATTTTGCATGTAAATTCGCTTACCACGTAAGGTTTTAATTTTGTTCCACATAGAGCCGGTTTGTTTTGGGTTGATGCTTTCGATGTAGTTTCTCCAAGTCTCGCTTTTGGCCTTTTTAATAAGTGATTTAGTCTTATTTATTTTCGTTCTCATGATTTTGTAGTTTTCTATTGTCATATTCTTTAAGTATTCTTTTATTGCTATCTTCTTTTCCCCATACGACT